AAAAAACATGGAAACACATTAAAGCAGACAAGCAAGCAAACAGAAGTCTGCAAAACTCCAACGGAGTGAAAACAAGTCTTTGCGTATAATTAATCAACTGTTTTATAATGCTTCGGAGACACCTGATTATGAAGAATCACTCAACGACTGAACAAACAAGTTTTGCATCTCTGAAAAAGTGGGGCCAGGCAAAATAGGCTGTGAATACAACTGTTAATTCTTGTCAATTTATGAATATGACTTCGAGTCAATGGTTTTCAAGGGTGTCGGGGCATATTCAAGCTAAACCAAAGCCTTCAAACACGCTATTCTTGGCGTACATTGCATTAAATTGCAATGTTTGAGTTCTGTGTGAGCTATAAACTGAAATCTGTGCAACATGATGCCCGAAAGAGCGCACCATCAAAAAAACCAGCAACTCATATATTTATTTGAATCATTGTGAAATTATGTGAATAACTGAGCAGTGTTCAAAGCATTCCCCTAAAAGAAACTGCCTAAGAACGGGATTCCCACCTAATCTCATACAATCATCAAACAACAAGGGTTTAGCAACCACTGCTCAACGAGTACACTATATCCCAGAGGTGGCCCAAAAAACAGATGATAAGACGTCAAAATACATTATTGTGCAAAGTCTAAGATCCAAGGTTGCAATGGCTGATGGCTGCAATCCTGAGTTTCGATTCATTCTTACTTTCCCCCAAAACATCTTTTTGGATCGATGTAAAATCCAGAACTTTCAATCACAACTCTTCCGGACTTTTCAGGACACCCGGAGGACTTGTAGAAAACGATTCTGGGACAGGTCCTGATGGGACAAAAGGTGGGAGCTAAGCCTGCGATCCAAATCATGGGTCTGGATCCCACTTGGGGGAAATCGATCACCATGAAATCCACATGAAAAATCACCATGAAATCACCACTAAATCAAGATACAAAAGAATACCAAACAAGTTTCTTTGTTTCAAGGCCTTCTTGTTGAAATGCTGAAACGTCCATGGACTTATTGGGTACATCTACCCCTACAGAATAACATGTCACCTCGGCGACTACTCACCCTACTATTCTGATTGGTGATCTCCCTATTTTGGCTTGGCGGCAAACTGTGTCAACATCTAGGATTTTATGCTAGCCTTATGACATATGGATTGCTTGGTGGTTAAGCCACACTTGGTTCAACATAGAAATTGGGCTAGAACCCAGCTTGGTTTTGCGGAAACGGGTTTTCTTTGCTTGGAAAGATTGGCGTAACCTTGGGAAGCAGGAAGATTCACCAGACACACACATATCACCTATCTATATATACATATCTATATCTATATATATATACATATCTATATCTATATCTATATATATATATTTCACCTGCAAATTTAACGGTTTGCTTTGGAAAATCAACCTCACCATTCCATGATCGTCCCGCCACCGGGGCAATCCTGATGGCTGCCAACTGTGGATTAATCAACCATGGTGTGTAAGGGGTGCCCTCTAAATGGGGATGGGTCAAAACCCTGGTACCTAGTGAACCCCAAAATAGCTGGTAAATGGATGTTCATCCCACTAGAAATGTATCTATAGGTATTGACCCACACCCGAATAGTGATAATATATGATAATACCGTGGGTGGAAGAACTCCTGCACCAGTTGGTATATGGTTTATCCATGTTTAGCAACCCCATGAAATTTACAATGTTTCATAGTTACCTAACGGTGGCCAACTGGTGCAGGATTTCTTCCATCCACAGTACGATACTGAAAATTGGTACCCCCACAATTAAACAGCCGTTTGAGATTTATTAGTGCAGGGTTGACATTATGTGAAATCCCAATCAGTGCGACAGCATCACGGATGGGAATCCTTATGATTAATAATTACTCATGTGGGCAACCCTGGCTGCCATGAACCTACCATTACTTGGGATGGTTTCACTTCCACCCAGCAATGTTTTTTGGGATGGTTTATGGCAGCCAGGGTTTCCCACATATGATGTGGAGTATCAGTTGGCAATTTTTATGGGATATGAATAGTAGATAATAAGGGTTTATTGACCATCTGATAATAAACCATCTAAATAAATTGCCAACTATTATAGATGGTTAATAAACCATTATAGTTGGTTAATAAACCGTTATAGTTTAGTTAATAAACCATTATAAGGGTTTATTGACCATCTATAATGGTTTATTAACCATCTATCAAACCTAATCCCTATAGAAGGATGACCATCCCCCATGGGCGTCTCCTCTTGCCGACGACTTGACATGCCAACCTGTGGTGATGGTGGCCACTGACCCATGAGTTTCCGTTAGAAAAGAACATACAACGAGGGAAGGTTGATTTTCCGTAGGATATTGACAGTGATTAACAATCAACATGCATTAGCCATGATGTATATCTATACATATACGATTGCATATTATGTTGACTTACATTGCATAGGTCTATATAATATAGAGGCAGGGGTTTTTCAGCAGCATCAGCAGCAAAAATCATGTGTCATGACTTCTGGTTACCCTCTGGTAGTCCAACCATCCAAAAAAAAGGGTTCCAATCATCCCAGATAGGTGCAACAATTCATACCCTCTGGTAATTTGTTAGAGTTCGCTATTGAAAATGGCCATTTATAGTGGATTTACCCATTAAAAATGGTGATTTTCCATAGTTTTTTGTATGTTTACCAGAGGGTATCTGAAACCACCAGCCCTTGGAGTTTCCAACATCCAGCACGGTGATTCTGTAAAAACACCAAACATGGGCGGTCCGAAATGACCCGAAAAATCCCACTGGTGGCAGATCCCCTGCCTCGCAGATTCACGGAGTTTTCAAGGTTTCATGGCGTCAAGGCGACTTTTTTCGGCTGTTGGTCTGTTGGTCTGTAGCAATATCTTACCGGTGAAATATCCATGAGTCAGGTCAGTTGGGATAGAGATTAGGATACATATACATGGCATAATATATAATACAGTACATAATACACATACATAATACAGGATAATATATTAGGTCAGTTAACACATACATATAAAGTACATAATCATATACATGGCACGAATTAAAAACATATGAATTTGCCGAAAGTGACACACACACACACACCAGAAGATCAGCATCCTCTGCAACTCCCCGCACAATAGCTAGCATAGGCCACATGGATATGGATAGGTGAAACATTGAAGCAGCTTTGTTCGTGGTTTGTTCTTTGAACTGCTATTCTCATCCGAAAAAAAAAACAACCATCACATCCAATCGCTTTGTTCCTTGGGGATCAAATCTCACACACACAGACTCCTCTGTGCAAATCGCGTGCCCAAAAATCATGCAACTGTCAATGATGACTTGTGGATGTCAAACTTGAGCACCATATCATGGCCATCTTCAACCACCTGATTTAGAAGTACCTCACGCATGAAAGGTTGCCGAGGTCACGCCTTGTATGGCAGTGAATGGGCCGTTCCCCAAGAATTTGTTTCTGTTTGGCTGCGATACTTTGGGGGCCCAGTAATAATATCTTCTCTCACTGATTTTGTTTATATCTGCTGCGATGTTTGATGGGCCAATTTTCTGAATTGCCCAAGCATTGATTTTCAATTCCTCGAAAAGGGATAGTGATCTGTTTGGCAATAACATCTTTCAGTCGTCATGGATGTTAGTGTCTAAATCTATGAAAAACGCCGCCGTTGAAAGGGCTTACCAACCATGTATCTATTGGCTACCAGTAAATACACAAAAACATGATCAATTGTGTGGTTCCTCTAGTGCCCCAGGTTCGATCAATGGTGCTTAAAAACCTTGAGTACTGCATCCTTTGTTGTTGATTTGAACACCCCCGAAAACTGCAGAGTGTCCGGCCCACATCTGACCAAAACCCAACACTTTACCTAACTGAAAGGAAACAAAGAGCCAATCATTCGAGGGCCATTTAGCCTATGAACGACAAGCACGACAACCTATATATGGTGGCTACTTTCTTAAACATCCTCCAACATTTTCCCAGTTCGACGTTCGAAAATTCCTCCAACACTGAACCTCATGATGGAAGACCGTGGCACCACCATGCTGAAGATCTACCTGAGTGGCGCCCCATCAAGGCAACAATATCAACGATACCGATGGAAGATTTTTGTAAACATGCACAGGAAAATTGACCAGTATGTACATGTGCATATATATATATATAAATATGTAAGTGCATATGACATGAATGCAAGTCGCACGTCGCATATATCATTTGAAATGATATAGTATCATCTGATAAGAGAAATCATGAGAAACCATGAGGAAACATGATGTCAAATACTACCCAATGCTAAATAAACATAGAACATAATTTAATACAATCCGTTGTAATGCATCACGAGATAAACTGCAACACAAGCGAGCAGCACGAAACAATATCGCAACATCGAAACACACACACAATAATATAGTATGGCTTGGTGAAATAATTTCTGACACACATAAATATCCATGAGCTATCATAATATGAATTAATACTATGACATGATATGCAATGACATAGTCTAATTGAATATGACAGAACATAACCTAATGTACTACCATACAATATGATATGATATTTTGTCATATGACATGGCATCTATGTATATATATATATATGTAGCCATCCTGGAATAGATAGAATATGACAATGTCAAAACATAATCACAAAAATGTGAATCCTTTGGAAAATCCATATTTTCATCCCATGATTATGGACAGGTATATATATAATTATATACACTGTGTATATAAATATAAGATATGTGATACCCTCCAGTAAACTAACATAGACCCTGCCAGATAGGGGTTGGAAGAGTAGTTTCCACTATAAATTGGTGATTTTCAGGGTCTATGTTAATTTACTAGAGGGTACATAATGTACATCTGTAGACATCTCAACACAGCTGACAGGCCAGACAGGCCACTGAGTTCAAATAGCAAAGGCATTGCACCATTCTCTGCTTTCCGTTGGCCTGTCCGCTTTCCGAGGCTTTCGAGGTTTTCCATACTCTGTGCAAATATTCACATGCAGAAGCACAAATATCTTGAGCTAACCACACAAGATATATAAATATATAGCATAATGATACACACACACACATATACACGTGTTCCTGACAAATACGGAGGTGGAGGGATGCATGGTTTGCACATCAACTGTTCAACAGATCACCAGTCGACCACTCAGTGTAAAATACGTATATATACATATATATTTATTTATTTAAATGAACATCAACAAACAGAACAGGTTTACCCAGAAAGAAAACGTAGATCAACAATGAACATGTAACAATACTACTACCAAGATACATCGTCTGGTAATTTAAGAGTTTGCTGTGAAATGATCGGAGGGTACACCGTACACCCATTGTTATCCCATGATATCCCAATGATATCGCTGTAAATCCACATAGCATCCCTAGTAAACGTTTACAAAAAGCTATTGAACATGGCCATAGAAATAGTGAGTTTTCCGATGAAAAATGGTGATTTTCCATAGTTATGTTAATTTACGAGAGGGTAGCATCCCTAATAAATCTGGATGAAATGTAACAATTCACCAACCTGAATACATAGCTGAAACTCAAGGCCATTTGGGGATGATTCCAGTGACTTCGCGACGTCACTAGGTCATTCGAATCTATCCAGAGAAATCCATCATCCAATATCATCCAATTATTGGTTAGATATTATTCTATGATGTTGTCATAGGATGTTATAAGATGTTGTAATATGTTATAATATGTTATAATTATATCATAATTATATCCAAGACTTAGCCCCACTCTATCCATCTCTATCCCATGAATTACAGGACAAATCCCAGTTCGCCGTCCTCAAAGGCTTTGAAATCCTTCGCACTCCAGCTATCGTTGGGAAGTTCCTGACGTCAAGATTCTGACATTGGCAGTGGCAAAGTATGTTTAACTTACCTATCCATTTTTCTGGCGTTTGATGATTTTGAAAACTTGGACTACTTACCTCATCTTACCTCTGCATCTTTAGTTTTTCACTGTTTTGATTTAGACTTTTATGATCTGTTGTTGCGCAGTGGAAGGCTCTGAGCTCTACTCTCTTCACCTTCGGGTTTCATCCCGGACATCATGACTGGCGAAGGGCATGACTGGTTACACCCCAGTTATGTATAGTTATGTATAATATGGGCTATAATATGATTATTAGCCAGTCGTTATTATATAGTTAATCAATGTTAATCATATAATATGATACTTGTCATGCACCATTATACCCCTGGTCATATGTGGCTTATCCCCTGACGTAGCATATCAGTTCGATGTGCAAGACCCACCAGACGTGGACCGTAGTCAAACACCGTCGTGGAGGTTTGCCCACCCTCAAATCATCGATGTAGGGTCTATAAGAAAACTGGCTGGAAAGCAGGTAACTTTTAAGTCGTTCTTGAGTGGGATGTCAGTTTAAACTTCATTATTATTCGTTTGTGGTAACAGAATAATCCATTGACCTACCAAACACTTCTATACCATTACTCCGTGAAACAGCTGTGGTGTAGGCAACAGCTGTGGATTCTAACAAGCCGACATGAATCGTACCCAGATATGGGTGTCCCAGTTGATGAACCAAGCAGCTCCTTACACGGAAGGGACCCAGCTAATCAACTCCCAGCACAAGCCACGTAAAGTTGTAACCGTATCTGTAGCTATCTCTGGTAGAGGTCCATTGTTCTTGCGGCTGTGGTTGGTTCAAAGAGGTCTGAACCCGCGCCAGCCTCTGAGTTTCAGAGGCAGGCAAGGAAAGTATTTGAGAAGTGACGTACACGACTTGAGAAGTGAACAAACTCTGATTTGTTGGAAGTAGCTTTGACTGTAGGCATTTTTTACGAGTAACGAACTTAATGAACTCTCTGAAAAGCGAAGCGCACGCGGTAGAAATGTACTTGAGCAGTAGAAACGTATTTGCTATGCAACTGCCTGTTGCCTATTCTCTCGGGTCTCAACTGGCCACTTGTGGAAAGGATGGGCCAAAAGATCTCCATATCGTTGAATGATGCTTCACAGCCGTCATAGCCGCTTGCAAACCATTCCCCACCCCAACCATTCCCCAACCATTCCCCAACCAGCGACCATTGTGGCTTCCCAAATGCTACATCGGGATGGACGGGATGGATCAAAAACCATCAAAAACCTATGAAATATCAGTTTTGGGAATATATTCAGATCCATTTCCCAACGAATGCCTTTGTCTGTCTGATTTAACATGATTTGAACCATTCAGCCCACCATAACACGGTGCATCTTAGATACCTGCCAAAAAATCTATACATATCATTACATATCTGTGCTGATAGCTGTGCATATTTCCACATTCCATATTTTACATTATTTTACGATATTTTACCATATTTTACGATGTTTTACATTATTTTACGATATTTTTACAATGTTTTACCATATTTTAAAATATGTTATATACATTGCTTTACCATATTTTTTACACCATTTTACAATATTTTAGCATATGTTTACCATATGTTTACTATATTGTTGCCATATGTTCACCATATTTTAACACATTTTACAATGTTTTACCATATATTTACAATCTTTTTTACCACATGTTACACTATTTTAGCATATTTTTACCATATGTCAACCATATTTTTACCATATTTCTACCACATGTTACGATATTAAAGCACAACAGTTGGTATCTCACCAGTCGTTTGACCCACCATCTCCAACGCTCCGACCTTGGAGTCAACGTGTTGACCCTGCCCATCGCCTTGCCTCCCACTTCGGCCCCATCAATTTGGACCATCCCAGGTACAGGATGGGGCCCCCGGAAACGAGCGATAGCGTTCAGTTGAGATATGGCTGTGGCTGAA